AGGACGGCCGCGCCCGCGCGTCCCTGAGGCTCCTCGCGGCCGGCTGGTGGCCACAGACGCCGCTCGCCGCTCGCCTTTTACGGACACAGCGCGGCGCCCGGCGCGCTCGCAGACAGCCCTCGGCAGCCCAGAGACCGCCTGGCCTCCCGACCGGGCGAGGGTCCGTTCCAATTCCGAGCCACGGCCCCCAGGCGGGTGGCCCCGGGCTCCTCGCGAACGTGGGCGAGGACACCGCGCCGGCCGCCACACTGACGCTAGACCGGCAGCAGCGGCCAGGTCCACACCGGCCGCTTAGGCCGCAGTCCCGGTTGCCCGGCACCTCCGTTCCCCCGACGCGCCCTCCCGACAACCGCCAGCCGCTTCCGCCCCGGCGGCCCCAGCTGCCCCGCCCCACGCGGTCGCTGTGGACGCTGCTCCGCTTCCACGCTCCGCGCGCCCGCCCTCCTCGGGAGCGCACGCCCGCGAACCCGGAAGCCGGAAGCCGCCGAGCTCCCGGCTCGCGCCCGCGGGCACCCGCGACCCTGCGGCGGTGCCTGTCCTTACGGCCAGCGCTTCCTCACAGTCAGAGGTCCTGAACGGCCTGCCGTCTGTACCGTGGGCGAGCCCATCACCGTCATCCATGCAGCCAGCCATCCATCCATTCGCTCCCTTCTGAGTTTCTCTCTTTCTGTTCCTGCCTAACCTCCAGTATCTCTGTGCTCCAAATTTCCACAGGATGGTCTGAGAGTGACCTGAGAGAGGCATTGAGCTGCCGGATACAAACACTGGACTCACCATTACTGACGGTGGCTTGCCTCTGGTAAACAAGAAGCACGGGCAATAAAAAGTGTAATGTAGGGCTAAGGTCGCTCTGCAGTCCCAGGACTCCAGCTCTGGGTACCTGCGCTGATTGTTCCTACAGCCTTACACGCAAACCTTTTATCCAGATATTTTGAGATTCCTGAAAATTGCACGCCCCAACCTTAAAACCTATATATACTCAGTCCTCCCTTTAGATATTTGCTGATACTCACTCTGATATCAGCCTGAGTGTAAGTAGAGGCATAAAATCTTATCTTCCCTACAGCGTCAGTATCCGTGTGGTTCCTCACACTCCGTTATTAGTCACTCATCAGACTGACACTAATGCATATCTTAATGCCTCATTTTAACTTAATTACCTCTTTAAAGAGGCACTCTCTGAACATAGTCGCATTATGAATTAATGGGGATCAGCGACACTATATGGATTTGGTGGGAACAAAAAGCTCAGTGGTAGTACACTCCTGGGTTTACTCCACAGTACCAAAAAAAAAAAAGAAGAAGAAAGCAGGGCACAAAACCAGTGCGGAGTGAAACGGAAGACTCCCCTTACAAAAATAGACCCCCATATAGGATAAGGATGAATTTAAAGTAGAACAGTTTTGGTGGGGACGCAGGCGTCAGCAGGCAGGTGCTTTTAATATTTCATTCTTGAGTCTGTGCTCGCCCCACACTGCCACGGTTCCCAGCTGAAACGCGCGGAGAGAGCCAGGTATTTCCCAGCTACTCCGAGGACAGACCGCGCGAATCAGGACCCCGCCAACATTACAGAGGGAGCCCTGGCCTCCCTGCTCCCGCGGCAGAGAGGAGGTGTTCACTCAGAAGCCCCAGGGACTTCTCTGGCTGCTGACGGGGCGAGCAGACTCTCCCAGACCCCACCCACCCTGCACGGAGTGAGCGAGTGCTCCAAGAGCCACTGACCCGCGGTTCCAGTTTGAGTTTTGCCTTTGCCCAGACTCCCTAGCAAGTCAAAGGCTGGGGAAGTCTGTGACTGATACCCATCTGGGCTGCATCTGGTTCCTGTATGTGTCCTGAACTGACTGGAGACATAGATTCAGGTGGTTCACAAACTGTAGATCCTGCAGTTTGTGTCTGAAGTATGCCTGTACCTTAAACTACCTGGGGACATAGGTCCACGGACCGAGATTTTCACACCAGTGCAACCCGAGTCAGGTCATGCATGTGCCCTGAACTGCAAGGGGATGCTGGATCAGATGGTCGGCCATAAGCTGACACAAGTGCCCGTGTCTGAGA